GATAAGAACCATGCCCAAGGGTGTTCCCTCTAAGCTGAGTTAGTGTGATCCTAGCTCACAGTTTTTTAGCCTCCGGCTCACACATTTTCGTCTTAGCTCAGGAAGGGTGGCTCCAGGGCCAAACGAATTTATGCAGGAGCCAAATAGCTCGCTCACACCGTCCCCAGATCGCCAGGAATTTCCCAAGCCAGAGGTGGTTACCCTGGTTCAAGGTGAATACCTTCCGACCCTGCATCTATTGAATGGCTTCGCTTTTAATTGCCTCTTTGGCTTAGTCTGAGCGCATACCACTCACCACACACATGATGCATGGTTAATATACACAGAGTAGTCCTTTAAGGGGATGAAATGTGTTTGATCTGAATGTCACTAGTTTTTATACAAGTGTAATATTACTTACTCCATAACTACACCGTGTTATACCAAAAAAGTTGATAATTGTTGTATGAACTGTTTGTTTTATCATCAATAAAAATTTACTTTAAAAAAGGGGGGGGTAAATAACCGACACTGTTTTTGCTTGGGATTTTGATCTTAGTAACTGGGGGCATTACTTTCCTCTACTCACTGATAACGGATACCTTCCAGGGCTATTTTTGGGCAGGAACGCACAGGAACGGAGTTCCGGCTGGCTCCCAAGCTGGCCACGCCCAGCAGGAACTCATTAGCATAATAGGCCACACCCAACAGCAGAAACTCTATAGGATTGGCTACAATTAGGGGTGTGTGGCCTAACATGCAAAAAGCCCTGGGTTTTGACAACAAACAAGGTAAAGAGAATAAGAAGCAAAAGGTAGGTGTGGCTGGATGACCACACTTCTGGTAACATAGGCAAATGAGCTGTGCTATCAGGGGTGTGGCCTAATACACTAATGAGTTCCTGCTGTTGGGTATGGCCTATTATGCTAATGAGCTCCTGCTGGGCTTTTTCTACCCAAAAAGCCCTGATACCTTCTAATAACAGGATTCCATACTTCTTATGAGAACTAGTGCGGTTGTTTTCATTTTTGATGTCACAAAATAGTCGTGTCAGTTATGTTTTGATGACAATCACCGGGTTTCTGTGAGGAAAACACTCCCTGCTGCCTGGGTGGGGGGTGGAGGTGAGAGCAAAGGCACGAAGGAAGGGACTAGGAGCTCAGCCCCAGTGTCTTCATCTGGAGAGAAGCTTTACTTCAAGGAACGGGCACTGACACCCTTGCTGCTCTTTGCCTTGCAGGGCTGTGAAGAACTTGCACTGGATCGCTGGTGGCACTTATACTGGGGAGGCCCTGGAGTTCACAAAGGACCAGTTGCTGCGACGATTTTCCTCTGAGAACCGGGTGGCCATTGTTATCACAGATGGACGGTCGGACACCCTTCGGGACCCCATACCCCTGAATGCGCTCTGTGAAGTCAATACCCAGGTGAAACTAACAACCAGGTGACAGGGGAGGGGAGAAAGGAAAGCAAGTGGGTGGGTGTGGAGAAGTGGCATGCCCACGCGTCTTCTGAGGCAGCACATGCGTGTGTGTAAAACGTCGTCCTGTCGCAACCGACTCATAGTGACCGTGTAGGGTTTTCGAGGTAAGACAATCTCTTAAGGCCATAAGAGAAGCCATGCTGGATCAGGGCAATGGCGTGTCCAGTCTGAAAGGCTTCCAGTTGGCTCTGGGGATCTGATTGGTTGTACAGATTAAAATAACATTGCTTTAGTGGCAGCTGCCACCACAGTATTCTCCCTCATTCCAAAATTACCCCTCTTCTCTGCATTTGAGCTTCCTCTCGGTGTGTGTGTGGCCGTGTCCCACGGCAGCCATTTTGTGGTTGGCTTTACCTCCTGCGGCAGCCATTTTGTGGCTGCGCCCATCACCCTGTGTCAGACTTCCAAAGCTGCCTACGGTTCTCAAAAACATTGGGGACCCCTGATGTAGATTTTTACAATACTGAATCTTCGTTGCCCTGTAGGTGTATCCCTTGGGTATCGGCGATATTTTCTACTCTCCTCCAAACCCTGAGCAATTATCCAGTATTTCCTGTAATGGGTTATCCATTCTGCGAGAAAACTATGCAGAGCTTCTGGATGACAGTTTCCTGCACAACATTACCTCTTATATCTGCAAAGGTGAGTGAGACGTCTCTGGATACTAGTTTGGGGTCAGCCGTCACCTGTTTCTTGGCAGATGCCCAAGGAAGTAGCAAAACAGAGGAACTGGAAGCCGGGTTCTTGCATGAATACAGTGAACCAGTCTGGTGTAGTGGTTAAATGCACGGACTCTTAGCTGGGAGAACCGGGTTTGATTCCCCACTCCTCCACTTGCACCTGCTGGATGACCTTAGGCAAGCCGTAGTTCTGATAAGAGCTGTCCTTGAAAGAGCAGTTCTGGAAAGAGCCCCACCTACCTCACAGGGTGTCTGTTGTGGGGAGGGGGAGGGAAAGGAGCTTGTAAGCCGCTCTGAGACTCCTTTGGGTTGTGAAGGGCAGGGTATAAATCCAATCTCTTCTCTTCTCCTTCTAAATGCAGAAAAGGTGATGAGAAAAGGGCTGCTTTGAGGGCAGTCTGACTCTTCCCAGGGAAACCACGGTGCTTCTAAAGGCATGACTAATTAAGTCAGAATGTCAATTTATGATATTCAAGGATGGAATTAATCATCCCGAATAGCACTTTGTCCTAAGTAGCACTTCACATTCATGCACCTTTTGAAGAGGGAGAGGTAAAAGCTGGGACTTGTTCCAAAAATGAAAAGGTGGAAACTCTCCCAAAAAGTTTTTTAAGACGAATAGTAATACTCATAGGAATATGTTAAACAGACTGAATATGTAAGCACATGCAGAACTTCAAAAGAATGTAATGCACATCATAGAGTCACACCACAGAATGATTATTCTTAAAGTAATACAATCCAAAATAGTCCACAAGCACAAGCTTTCCCAGGGGCAATAACAGTCCATAGAGAAAATACTGTCCAGTATACCCCAACGGTATCATATGTAATATTAAGACCGTTTTGAAGACAGTCTTTCATCAAAGGGTATAGTGAATCAAGGTAGATACAATGACCATGAACCGATCAAAAGGCTATTTCGTATTAAGAGGGGTCCAAGGCCTCTTAGCAAATTCACAACTCAGTGGTATCAAATCTAGCAGGCAAAAAGACTCTTTTGGGGAGAGTTTCCACCTTTTCATTTCTATATTTACACTCTCCCTTCCCGGTTTGTTTTGGGACTTGTCCCAAAGTTGTGGGAGTTATACTCATGTTTGCAGGTACAGCGCCAGCCATGTATGAGCCTTGTATTACATTTGTACTGTAAGGGGTCCATGAGAACAGTCCCTGCTAGTTCCCTCTCTACATTCCAACCAATCCTAAAGTACAGTTCCTCAGTATAAGAGCTATTCAGCAATATGCCTGCTTATTAAAATACTCCTACTCTGCCTCTCTCACAATCCACAGCCCTATAGGTCGCCTGTGCTGTTGGCAAAACTGTCTCTTCTCCAACATCTGTATAGTATTCAAGAATCCTCTGGAGACCCAGCTGTGGTCATCATTTGTCCTGTGAATGGTGGGACAGGGAGGGTGGAAGCTGCCCCAAGCGCTCCAGCAGATGCAGAGCTGGGTGTGGAGTCATTGTAGAGCTGTGCCACCTTGAAGAGTCTGCAGCGCTACGGAGGCTGCATGCACAGTTCAGAGTTTTCCTGGTCTTCATGAGCCGATCCTTTAAGGCTAGAATGGAAACAATGAGAGTGGTGCAGGAAGGCTGTCTGTGTAACCTCTGCTGCTCTCCACTGTCCCCTCTAAGATAGGATGAGCTAGCTCACAGTTTTTTAGCCTCTGGCGCATGCATTTTCATCTTAGCTCAGGAAGGGATGGCTCCAGAACATAAGAACATAAGAGACGCCAATGTTGGATCAGGCCAAAGGCCCATCCAGTCCAACACTCTGTGTCACACAGTGGCCAGAAATACCAGGTGCCATCAGGAGGTCCAGCAGTGGGGCCAGGACATTAGAAGCCCTCCCACTGTTGACTCCCCCCAAGCACCAAGAAGACAGAGCATCACTTGCCCCAGAGTCCCTATCTATACCTTGTGGCTAATAGCCACCGATGGACCTCTGCTCCATATGCTTATCTAATTCCCTTTTGAAGCCGTCCATGCTTGTAGCCGCCACCACTTCCTGTAGCAGTGAATTCCATGTGTAAAATTCCAGAGCAAACGAATGTCTGCAGTAGCCAAACGGCTCGCTCACAGCTTTGTTCCAGTAGTTCACAAAGTAGAAAAGTGGGCTACAAATACTAAAATATCTCAAAAGAACCACATATCTGGCATCTGTGCAAAAGGCCGCTTATACTGTTAGTGGTGCCAGAGGACAGCCCGGGGTGCCATCTGCGCAGGCTTAGGAGATACCCGTTGATGCCAGGCAGTCTTACAGTTTGCTGCCCTGAGGGGTTTTTAATGCACAAGGAGCTGTATGAAAGTCATCTGTTGACTGCCAAAGGTTGCCTGCAAGTAAACAATAAAATGATCTGATGCAATCTTGTTTTTCGTTACAGACAAGAAGTGCCCAGACTACACTTGCCCAAGTGAGTATTCTTTCCAAAGCAGTCCTTGTGCCTTTCATTTTCAAGTAGGGCTGGCAACTGGTGGGGGGAGGGGGTTTACCAGGAGCAAAGAGAGGCCTACAATCATGGAGATGGAAGGGACCTCCAGGGTCATCTAGTCCAACCCCCTGCACACTGTTGGATATTCACAAATACCTTCCCCCAATGCCCCCAGGGACCTCTGCTCTATGCCCAGAAGAGGGCAAAAAAAAACCCTCCAGGATCCCTGCCTCAACTGGCCTGGAGAAAAACTGCTTCCTGACCCCAAAGTGGCAATCAGCATTTCCCTGGGCTTGTAAGAAAGGGCCATCGAGAAGTAAGCACTGATGCCGAGGGGCACCTGAAGTGATATCACATCGCCAGTGACGTGGGGACGCTCTGGTATTTGGGCAAAAACTATGGTAGAAGTCATTTTTTACCATAGGGATTTTGCCCACATACCAGAGCGTCCCTGCTTTGCTGGCGACACGATGTCACTTCTGGGGTGTGCCAGAAGTGATGTTGCCACATTGCCAGGGAGGCAGACCTAGGCCTCTTTTGCTGCCGGTAAGTCCCCCCATCGGCCAGCTGATCGGTGCCAGGGAGGAGGGGCCCCGGAGGAGGGGCCTGGCATGCCTGTCTTCAAGCCTCTTTAACCTCCTGAGTTGACACGGGAAGGCATGAAGCTGCCTTGCGCGGTGTTGTCTACTCTGATTAGTTGTCCCGCTGGGCACCAGGAGCTAAGTCAGGGAAGGAGAGGAGTGTAATGTAAGGCTAAGGGAAGCAAGAGCCTTTTGTTCGTAGGCCTAAACTTTGTCAGAGTTTGGGTAATCTCATGTAATGCCCATCATCCTCTGAATTCCAGAGCCGCCCCTAGTCCTTCGTTTTTTTCTCTCGCCTCTATTTTTGTCACTCTTGTGTTTCCCACCCAATATACGTGCATTCACTGTGCAGCAAATATATATAATAAATATGAGATATATATACAGATTTATCTGATGATCCTCCGCTTCAAAAGGAAGTGTACCTAGGGTTGCCATCCCCCCGGTCAGGGCAGGGGAGCCCCTGATTTTGGGGGGCCCAATCCACCCCCGAACAGCAGCGCCCCATGGGGATGCCCCCAATGCAATGGCATCACCGGTGGTGACGTCATCACACTGGGCCTGTCACACGGCAACGCTTTAGCACTTGGGGGGAACTCCCTGGTTACCATAGAGTTTTTTGCCCCAAACGCTAGAGCATTGCCGCACGATGGCCCCGGTGTGATGACATCAGATCCGGAGGAGGAGCCGGGAGCCCCCCACTGCGGGAAAGGTAATACCTGGCAACTCTAAGTGTACCTGTTATAAGAAACATTTTTGCAGAGCCCGAATGACAACTTTCTTGTATTGCCCCCAGCATGTGCATCTGAGAACCTTCCTATAGAAATATCATTTGAGTAAGTAAGCAAGGCGGCTTCATTGCTGGACCAATATCGCCCCATCCATTTTGAGACTCCCGTCTCCCTTTTATCTCAGAAAATCCACAGAAAAACTAGTGTCCCAAGCTGTTTGTTCTGATGTGTATTTTATGGGACCAAGTATCTAAGGCCCTGTGCATTGTGCACCAGCAGAAGAGGATCTCTGCCTCCCCCCAGTGTCCCCCATATTAACAGGTATAGAATATGTACAGCTGACTTAAGAGCCAATATCTCTTCTCCTTTTAGTCACCTTTGATGGCCCGGCTGATATCACGCTCCTAGTGGATAGTTCTACCAGTGTCGGGAGCCGTAACTTCAACACCACCAAGAAATTTGTGAAGCGCCTGGCCGAGCGGTTCCTGGCAGCATCCAAACCTGCCGAGGACACCGTGCGCGTTTCGGTTGTCCAGTACAGCGGCAAAGCTCAGCAGAAACTGGAAGCGCAGTTCGAGCAGAACTACACCGTGATCGCCGAGGCCATCGACAGCATGCAGTTCATGAACGACGCCACGGACGTCAACGCCGCTCTCGACTATGTCACCAACCTCTACCGGCAGTCTTCCCGCTCTGGGGCTAAGAAGAGGGTGTTGGTCTTCTCCGACGGCAACTCTCAAGGCATCACCGGAAGCGCCATCGAGAGGGCGGTTCAGGCAGCCCGGCAGGCGGGCATCGAGATCTACGTACTGGTGGTCGGCACGCAAGCCAACGAGCCCAATATACGCGTCCTTGTGACTGGGAAGACCACCGAGTATGACGTGGCGTACGGGGAAAGGCACCTTTTCCGAGTGCCTGATTACAACTCTTTGCTGAGGGGCGTCTTCTATCAAACTGTTTCCAGGAGAATAGCTGTCAACTGAGTCGGTGGAATGTAAAGGAGTAGGATTATATAGATTCTAAGTTTTTTAAAAAATAAAAAAGCTAGCACTCAACAGAACCCATATTTTTTATAAAAAGCCCGCCCAGGTCCCTGCTTTTGAGCTGCATCATGCCTTTCCCTGCCCATTTCTTTTCCCCCGTAAAATTGTATACTCTACAAAGGGCGAAATGCAGGTCCGCTTATTCTTTCACCCTAATTTTCAACTGAGGTAAGCTCGGTTGGTAAAACTCAAGAATCTTGAAAATGCACTACCCTTTTATTCCTAAGATCGAGAGCACATTTTCACGTGGATACTAGGATCCTCTTTCCAGAATAAAATGATCCTTTATCTTGCTGACACAAGTAACTTTTTTTTTTTTAATTTGCTATTTTACTTTATTTTCATAATAAGAAAAACTATCGCTTGGGCTACCCAGCTCCAGAAAACTTGCTTGGCCCCTTAAAGACAAGGAGGCGGTTCCTGGAATACTCGCTGCTCTCAAGGGAACGAGCGGCAGTGACGAAAATCGTATCCTTGCGTACAACCTTCCAGTTCATAGCAAGCTGTTTTAAAATCACTTTAACCCCACAGCATCAATACAAACAAAAGTTTAGTTCAGGGGTCCCCAACCTTTTTGAGCCTGTGGGCACTTTTAACATTCTGGAATAGCCACAAAATGGCTGCCACCACATGGCTGCTGCAGGAGGTGGAGTCAGCCACAAAATGGCTGCCCCAGCTTGTCGCCAGTCACACAGTGAAGATCCTTGTGCTGTGGTGACTACAGCACTGTTTTTGAAAACCTGCACAGCCAATCAAATCTCCAGTGGCCAATCAGAAGCATTGCTGGGCAAATGACCCCCCCTGGCCCCACCCACCGGGAAAGGGGAATCCTGGTTTAGTTTTTGAGCACTGACTTCTCCTTCCATCTGATAAATCAGAGGCCCTGAAAAGCGATCTTCCAGTTAGTGTTATTATTATCTGAATTGTTTGAAATAAAATCTAAGTGAAGCCCGGGACTGGCTTCCGAGAGCCACATCCTGTGCAATGTGAGAGTCCATGCTGGTGCTAACCTTCCCTCCCCACTGCCCGAGGTTTACAGAATACGTTTGCACAGACATTCCTGGGGAAAAAACCATGTGAGAATTGGGGAACGGTTTGGACCGTTAAATTCAGTGTTTCCGATGGTGCTCTTGCTATGAAATCGATGGACATAATTTTTCAGTATGGTGGCTGTTGCTGTTTTGTAATCAAGATCCATTTTACCACTTTATTTGATTTTCTGCCTGCGTTTGTGTTTGTTTTTTAAACTGTCCAATGTTCACGTCCAGGTTTTGTTCAAATAAATCGTTTCCCACAATTTTCGGAGCGGGGGGGAAATTGACTTTGTCTCAGGGTAGCTAACGAGGAAAAATGGTTCCCAACGGAAGAGAAGAACCATGTGCTGGAATTGTGCCTTTTCACAATATCTAAGACACTACAGGAACTTTAATAAGAAGGGGGGGGTGTCTCAAAGGGCAGCTCTTCAGATTTACTCATTACCTTACCAGGTGCATGCTGGGAGTTTTGCATTCAGAGTTTACAGCGAAAACCTTCACTTTCAAGTATATGGGGGCCTTGTCTGGATTGGGACCAGGGCTGGGGGGATTGCCCTGATTTGAAAAAGCCTGGAAGAGCTACCACTGATAATCTGTTCTCTTGGTGGGGTTGCCAACCTCCAGGCGGGGCCTGGAGATCTTCTGGAATTACAACCGCTCTCCAGACTACAGAGATCAGTTCTCCTGGAGGAAAATGGCTCTCGTGGAGGGTGGCCTCTGTGGCATTCTACCCTGCTGAGGCTCCTCTCCAAACCCCGCCTTCCCCTGGTTCCACTCCCAATCCTCCAGGAATTTCCCAACCCCGAGGTGGCAACCTTATCTCTTGTGACCGAACCCCATGAATAAAAGGAGCACTTGTACGTTCAGTGGTTTTCCTATGACATTACGACGCATTTGTCAGAAACTGTTTACTCAAGTTCTTCTTTTCACTTTTTAAAGAAAACAATATTTTCCTCTGTAAATTAAAGGAAGAAATCCCATTGACCCAGATGTATGTTTTGGTTTTTAATTTTTTTCTTTTGCACTTCACATTGCAGCCTCCAGTGCGTTTTGTGCCTTGCCCCTGAAAACGCTGCTCTCATCCCTAGTCCTGAAGAGCGAGCTCTGAAGAGGAACTGGTGGAGCACAAAATGCTTTTTTGTAACGTTGCGGTTCTGTACCTTGGCCCTCAAACTCTCACTGGGATCATAAAACACACGTTTTATGACACACAGATCAGGGATGCTCCAACTCCTGTGGGTTCTGACCTCACCTGGGAATCACCAGCTGCAAATATGTCACTGATTTATCACTGATCGGATCGGCTGATCGCTGAGCCATTTGCTGGAGCTCTCTTTGGGGTAGGGGGTGGCTTTAGAACAGTGTTAACATACACTGAGCTTTCAATAGGGTTACCAAAATAAAAGCAAAAAAGAGGACATATTTCCCAACTGACTACTTCAAACAAGTGAGCGCTATGACAAATCTCATTTTAAATGCCCTTACTACTTAAGCTGTGGTAATTGCTACCAGGGGTCATTTCCTGCAGGAGCACACGGGAGCGGAGCTCCGGCAGTAAAGAGCCCAGGGGGCGGGCACATACAGCAAGCCCCACCCCCTGCTCCCAGCAGTCCTCAGTCAGAGCAAGAAGCAGCCAGGTAAATTGCAGAGCTCCCCCCAGCCCCCCGGTCCAAAACTGTCCAGTGGCACCTTTAAGACCAAGTTTTATTCAGGTACAAGCTCTCCCTCCTCTGCGAGGACAGATCTGCACGTTCCCCCCACCCACCCCCAATAGCTAGCAATCCAAAACAGTCCAGTGGAGCCTGAGTGGTGGATGTTGCCTTCTGACACACTTCCAGTGATGTCAGGAGGTGTGGCATATGCAAATGAGTTATGCTAATGCACTCCTGCACCTCTTTTTCTACGAAATGACCCCTGATTGCTACTAAGAATATTCCTAATCTTCCAATCCAAAAATAGGACATTTTCATCAGTTTTTTTAAGAGCCCAAAAGAGGACAGACACCCAAAAACAGGGCTAGTCCTCTAAAAAGAGGGCATCTGGTAACCCTAGCTTTCAGTGCATGGCTCTCTTCCATTCCCCATGTCGCTACTGCGCAGACATCATTTTCTCTGCGGCCATGTTTTAATCAATCTTCCGAAATGAATGTCTTAGGGTTACCAGCTCTGGGTTGGGAGCAGTGTTCCTGCTAAGCTGCCTAGTGTGAGCTGGCTCACAGTTTTTTAGCCTCCAGCTCACACATTTTTGTCTTAGCTCAGGAAGGGATGGCTCCGGAGCAGACTAATTTATGCAGTGGCCAAATCGCTCGCTCACGACGTTAATGCCAGCAGCTCACAAAGGAGTTTTTGCTCTCAAGACTCCACGGCTTAGAGGGAGCCTTGGTTGGGAGATGCCTGGAGATTCTGGGAGTGTGGTTTGGGGAGGGGAGGGACCTCAGCAGAGTGCAGGGCCTTAGAGTCCACCCTCCAAAGCATGGAGAACTGATCACGGTAGTCTAGGAATCAATCGTAATATTGGGAGATCTCCAGGCCCCACCTGGAGGCTGGCAACCTTACTCCAAAACGAAATTAGTTTTAAAGTAGATTCTACTCCTATTTTTGTTCTCATTAATGAATTCTGGTCTTAGCTAGCCAGTATGCTTACAGCTTAGCTGTTTTGTAAAGGGGAATCAATCGTAATACTGGGAGATCTCCAGGCCCCACCTGGAGGCTGGCAACCTTACTCCGAAACAAAATTAGTTTTAAAGTAGATTCTACTCTTATTTTTGTTCTCATTAATGAATTCTGGTCTTAGCTAGCCAGTGTGCTTACAGCTTAGCTGTTTTGTAAAGGAGCTATGTAAAGAGGTTACTGTTACCCATAAAACCAGCGAAGTATTTGGAAGGACAATGGAATGGGTTTAATATGATCTCTGCAAGCAGAATGAGGCTGGGTCCTTCATCCCAGTACACCTGCTTAAAGACGGACTGGGAACCCAAAATAGCCCTAGAAAGATCCCCCCGCCGCCACCATCCCTAGCCACTGTTAAGTCGCTCGCTTAACAAAGCAGTCGGAGAGTGATTCAGCAAGAATACAACTTTATTCTTCAACTCCAACACGGATCAACATCTGATAACCAGAACAGCCTTTACCTTGCAGCTGTCCTGCTTTTAAACATTCCCGGCTAATGTAGCCACACCCACTGTACAATTACCAACCAATAAGGTTGTTCGCATAAGGACCGTTCCTGCTCAGGGAGCTTGCTTGAAGGTGACTGGTTAGGTGCTCCCTGGGCTAGTAACACGATTGGATGGATTTGGATCCTAGCCCAGGACGAAGCTTAACATTACAAGTCAATGAGATGTTTCACATACATCATGCATTCCATGGCAGCTTTGGAATACACTACAGCCTCAGACAAAGGCGACCAGTCCTCCAAATGTTAGGACATACCACCCAGTTAGCCTTCTCTCTCAAGTTCGTACTTTGGTTTTTAAGCACATAATACTAATAAACTTGCTAATAAACGCCGGGGGGCGGGGAATCCCCTGCTTTGACGGCCTGATTTTCGACAGGACGAAAATCGGGCCCAGGGGAAACCCCACCCCCGCGTTCGCGTCACCCGGAAGTGACGTCGCACACTGGGGGCGGGGCCACGCCATTTGAGGGGAAAACTCTTTGTTTTCCCCTCAAATAGGGGAGGGGGAGGGGGGAGTTACTGGCAGGAAAACTAGGCCTGCATCACTGACAACGCAGTAATGTCACTTCCTACATGCATCATAAATGATGTCATCATGTCACTGGCAACACAGGGACGCTCAGGTATTTGGGCAAAAACTCTATGGTAGAAGTTATTTTTTTACCATAGAGTTCTCCTCCAAATACCAGTGTCCCTGCATCACCAGTGAAGTGATGATGTCACTTCCAGTTAGGGTTGCCAGGTTTCCCCTGACCAATGGTGGACTCTGTAGTTTGGAGATAAGCTATAATTCCAGGTGATTCCTAGGTTCCACCTGGAGGCTGGCATCCCTGTTTCTGGTATATGACAGAAGTGATGTTGCCATATTGCCGGTGACACAGGCCTAGGCCTAGTTGTCATGCTGACAAGTCCCCCACTAGCCAGCTGATT